TATTTTTTAATGTAGAATCTTTACATGCATGTCATTTGTGAGTTTTTGTTCCTAAACTGTTGTTCAAAGAACTTGCTTCCTTTATCATCTTCAAATCCAATTTAAAGAAAAGTCTGTGTTTAGGAAGTGACAACATGAAATTCTGCGGTAATTATTAGAGTTTTCATTATCTCGTTGAGCTCCGTGCTGCTTTATCATCTTGAAAAATATGTTTTCACACAGTTGGCTGTGTTATCCTTTTCCCCGTTGAGTCTTTTAGTTCTGTTTTGCACCAGTTTTCTTCTTTTCACAACGTGTTTTTAATGACTGTATCAAAAAATATATTAAATATGCTGTGATGGTCAGAGCAAGATTGTGAAAATAATCACCTGTGGCAATTTGGGAGGCATTTTGATATTGTGACAAAGGAAAGCATTTTTTTAATGGAGGAGATAAATTTACACAATCACTGTCAGGTAGACATTTTTGTTGGTGGTACAACTGTTAATTAACCCACTTAAAAATCCTCCTGAAGATCCCGGCTGACCGACCTGACTCGCGATGGAGATCCATAACTACACGGCAGCAATTGCAACTGAAGCAGCTCCTGTTTCTGTTGTAATAAAACTGGTTCCTGGGTGGCTCCAGATGTTTTCAGCAGAATGAATATCACTGCGTATACCTAATAAAACCCCAATCCTTAGGTCCTCATTTTGCTAAAATATTAATGCAGTAAAAAATGCAACAATAAACAAAAGTAGTTCTCTCTAATTACAGCCCTGAAAGTTAACCATCCAGTAGACTCAAACTAATAAAAAAGTTGCATGTTACACATTAATATAAAAATACTGTGAGCTAAAAGACCATGGTATTCCTGTTACATGTGCCTTTAAGCTGGTGCCTGTTTGGTGTTGTTTCCTCAGGTGAACTTGCTCAGACCTGATTAGTTAACTAGTAAAGTGGATGGAGGAGACTTGGGTCACTCTTTTTTTCCACACTTTATTACAGGAAGTTGTTTGATAACTTTTGGTTTTATAGTTTCAAGTGATGGGACCAGTGCTTAATTTGAGCCGGATCCTGCCGAAACAGGATACTCTTGTTTTGATAGGGTGGGTTATAACTGTTTGCTTGGATCAGGTAACTCTCAGGCTTACTAATAATAAGATTATGAACAAATTTGACTGCCTTGAATGAATAAAACCTATAGTGGACATGCAATCTGAAAATAATTACATAAACACTAATTTTAAACATAACATCTTACGAGCTTCCTAATACCATAAGAACTTTCCCTTCACGTAAGTATTTCTGCTTCTATCCTAAAAGTAAAGTCATGGAAAATTTAATTAAAAACACAAAAATATAATTAAACTGCCCAACTAAATTGCAAATCAGTTTTACAGTTTAAGTGGGTCATTAATACAATTTTGATTATTTATTAAAAATACGTGAGAAATGTTTGAATCTGAGAGAAATGTTTGATGGGTAATCACGTTACGTAGCTACATCATGTATCAAAACAATGGCACCGATTTGTCAAAAATAACAGTGATCTAAATGTTGAAAAGACAGTCTAATTTATATTCATTTAAAAAAAAATCTTCGAATTGTACATCTAAACAACCAAGAATTGAAGCACATGAAGGCAGAGGCAATAGAGACTGGAGCAGGTGCGAGGATGCTTGAGAGAAGCAGAGCATGCTTTATTCAAATGGGGAGAGCTGTTGGTCAGGCTACTTCTTATTGCTGTCTAAAATAGTTATTGAATCAAGTGTTTACAAATGTAGGTAAACATAGATGTTTAACAACCTGTTCAAATACGCCAGAATGCAGGAAATTGCATCTACTTCATTCAAAATTTTCTGGGGAAGGACCCCCAGACACTCCATCCACCCTGTGCTATTTGCGTTCTGGCATCGTTTGGTTTGCAAATTAAGCACTGGACGGGACTGACTGCCTTTGCTTCATTTGTTTATTGTTTGATTTGCTGATGGATTCTGGAGTTGTTGGTTGGACATGAGTCCAGATCCTTTGAGCCCTTTGTGGTTGGTTTTCCTTTTTGTACACCCCAACGCATTGTTCGTGTTGTTGGTGAAGTCCTGTATTTATCTTCATTTATTATTATTTTTTCAGTGAACTGACTGAAACTTTTTTAACATCCTGCACTTTTTATATTCATTGCATTGCTCATGTCTGAGCTCATATCAGATCATTTTACATTAATGTAGACAGTGAGACAACAGTTTTAATACAGTAATTTCAACATTTCTAGTCTGAGCTGTAGCACTTCCCTTCTTACTTCAAATCAAATAACACCCAACTATTATTGGTCAGTTGCAATTAAATCAGATAATGTTTTTCTATTGGGTTGACCTCATGTGCAAGATGACAGTAACTTAACCCTCCTGCACCTCCTGGAGCATCAGAAGGGTTAACACTGACAGGTACAGCAGATGTGCTTTGGTCTAGATTTTATCAATATTTTGTGCAGATGCAAACAAAAATCATTTGATAAAACAGATAATATATGTGCATCTTTTGTTGTGTGTGTGTGTGTGTGTGGGGGGGGGGGGGGTCATTCTGTAGTAAGTAAAATAGAATGGAAAGACCAATATTTATAAACTTTAAGAAAACAGAAAGAAAGTTTCATGTCGTCATCAGTGGGACCGGCCATGGTCAAAGTGGAACATGCAGACCAGTGAGCGGAGAGGCTTTCACCTCATTACAGAATGTGGTAAAAACTCGTCATCACGCTTTATTTTCTTTCACAAAAATGTGTCAGTTTATACTGATTTTAGTTCTTAGTTGACCATCAGTACTGTTTTAGTGAAGACACTACAAACTTTATAAACTAAAATGAACCTAAATAAAATATTAATGTCACTTTTGAAGCAAAATTTGCATATGATTCATTTGGCATGCTTTTGTGTTTTATTAATATATACTGTAGGCGTTAAAATGAGGTGCCATTGTTTCATGTCTAAATGTGCTTTTTTTTTAAACCTCTAGTTCTTTTTTCATTTTATCTTTTGTTTTTGTTTACTTCCTTATATGGATGGATGGGAAGTCATGGAGTAACATGTTTCAAAATCAGAATAAACTTTATTGTCATTGCACAGTTAAGCACAATGAAAATACATTCCAGTGCAGCCGTCCAAAGACAACAAGGGTAGACGGGGGTGCACGGGGGCTGCAGCTACTTTGTGAAGCGCTGCCCTTATCGTTTAGATAAGTAAAGGGAAGAGAAACATGAGGAAAGGAGTCTTTTAAAGGACTTTGTTGTTTTCAACCAGTTTGACATGACTGTCAACAAGAAAGAGGGCCAGCTATGGAGGAGGGGGCGTGACAAAGAGACCATCTTAGCACCAACATAACTGGTTTGTTCCACTTTGGAGTAAGCTGTTGGGGGAAGAATCAGTTTTGTGTTGTGTGTTTCTTTGACTGATGAAGCCTTCCGGATCGAAGACGAAACGTTTCAGCACAAAAATAGAAACTGTCCAGATGACCTGACTGAAAAATGTTGGCTTGTATACCTGGATTATTGAGCATGGACTTTATGAGGAAATAAGGTATTTAAAAAGGTCTCTCATACTGTGTCCTTGACACACAGGACACAGTGTAAGGTAGCAAAAAAACTACCTCAGCACAAAAAAAAAGCAACAAAGATACATGACATGTTCCAGGGAGAGAGACCAACAAAGGCGGTGAGATTGTCTGTAAACACATCCTGAAAGTTCCATAGTCCTGATAAGATGGCACAGTGTCTATCAGCTGGCTCAACTCTGATAAGGGTGCACAGATGTTCTCCAGTGGGGAAGCAGGAGCAGAGCTTCATTATTTACATATCCTCCAGGAGCAATTTGAGATAAGTTGGCCTATCCAAGGCCAAGTGGGGAAGCCATATTTCAATAAACAACAATTGTTTGGGGGCAGGCCGACTCTACTGATTTCATGTCTGCTTCATAGTTTTGCTGCTGCACTCAATGGTGAATCCAAACAGCCAGATGTGTGGTCATTCCTTCGGTCCATGCTCATAGCCTTCTCCAAGGTTGATTCCTTCATGCCAGTGAGTTCCAGGCTCACAAAGTATCTGAGTCTGAGCGCTTGAGCGCTGAGACCAGCTGATCATATTAATAATTTACGATTCGGAAGATATGTAAAGAGAGGCTCTGAGAAAGATTCACAGGACTGTGGCTGCCTGTCTGGGAGGAGTTGATGGGGGACAGAACAGCTCCCGTAAACTATCTTATCACCAGCAAACTGGTTGGTCCACTAAAGGAGTGTACTGCTTAGTGGGGAAAACAGTTTACTATGGATTCCTCAGACTGATGACGCCCTCTGGATAGAGGGAAAAACATCTTTCCACAAAAAAGAAACTGTCCAGATGACCTGATTGACCATTATCTACCTATGGTCCTTGTCTTTGTTCATAGACCTCTTGTGTTCTGTTTGTTGTCACAAGCCTTCACCTCCATATTCTGTGTGGGATTTTTTTTCTCAGCTCATATTTATTAAACTGTCCTTTTTGATCCAAAAAATTGAGTTCAGCATCACCCCTTTGCTTTGACTAAAATGTAACTAGCTATACTATATATTTTTAAGTCTTTTGTTAGATTTTGAACAATTCTGATTTTGTTTTTTCATTCAAACATCTTCAGCGATACATTTTCTTGTAGCTAATTGTGGGTAAATGCAAATGTTTTAAATGAGTTTCAAATAGCTGCCAATGCACTGGCCAGATGTTCTCACAGTTTATATCTTATTAGTTTTGATCAATATCAGAAATTATTGATTATACTGGATTGAATGGCATTTTTGCAACATATCATCACACGTTTATGTACTGTGGGTATATAAATCTGATATTTTAATATTTTTTATTTATTATGCAAAAGTCACAGGGAATTATCCAGTTGCTCAACAGCTTTACTTGTATACACATGTTGCTTAAACACTTTACTAAAATACAAACAATTTAAACACTTCACACGTCACAAAAAGTTCACACGAGGTTAACTTACCCTGTTTCCTGTTCTTGTATTTAGTCTTTTCAGTCAGACATCTGAGTTTCTGCTCCTGGCTGGGAATTATTCTGTCTTCAGTTTTATTCTTTACTGTCCTAGATAGAAAACCCAAAGAATCCTGCAGGATTTGTGAGGGCATGGATGAGCTATTCGTGAATAACGTGCAACACAAAGGCTCCTGACATCCGGAGGAGGCAGATTGAAAGAAAACGAGGGAGGGAGAGAAGGAGATGAAAGGCCAGAAATAGACAAGATAATTAAAAGGTGAGCGGATGAACAACTAAGATGGAAAGATACAACAGAGGAATGAAAGGGATCCGAAGAGAGATAGAGAAGTCATTTAAGGTCTGTCCTGGGGATTGGAGGATGCTCGGGCGGGCACATGTGTGAGTTTGAGACTTCACGTTCACAGCCAGGTTAAGCTTCAGACGGTAAGCAGGGTCAGCATAGACCACGCAGGCTCACATGACCAGCGAAGCGCTCGGTAATCCAGTAATCCGCTGCTCTTCCACTCATGCTCCTGCTAAACAACGACCATCTCCTTTGTTAATTAACTGTAATTTTTAAGTTTCTCTTAAACTCCACCCGCCCCCCCCGTCTCTGTCCCTTTCTCACAAATCCCCAATCAGCCTAATCTAGTTTACTCCATGACAGACTTTGTTGTTCTCTGTTGATCTTTTGGTAAAGTTTTCTTTAAAGGATTGCTTCATATTAAACTGTCATAATCATAAAATAACATATTTTATAAGCATAAAGGAACTTATATAAATGTTAGCTTATTAAGTGTCATTTTGGAGTAAAAAAATTCTGGACAAACATAACCAAACATTTATGTTGTTTTACTGCAAACCTGACAAAAATGTATGTTTTTTTTTTTAATTCATTCAACCTTTATTTATACAGGTTAGTCTCATTAAGGGCTCATTTACAAGAGAGACATGAATGTTGACTATGTTTCAAAAATGCTATAGATAAATGAATATATAAATGTTCTAAATACAATTTACAATTCTTCTGCTGAAGAGCTTTGGTGCATGTCACTCTACAGTTATGTTGTTTATTTGTCATATGCAGGTTATCACAAGGTCAGCAATGAAATGAAATGTTCAGGATGAGAAGAACCGATTCGACTTGCTAAAAACAAACAAACAAAATACTAAAGCATGCAATAAAGGTGTAAAATAAACTTTAAAAAAATGAAAAAGAAACATAATATTTACAAGGTCCAAAAAAAATATAGTAAACAACAGCATGGTAGAATATAATGGTGCAAAAAGGATGAATCAGTATAAATAAGTATTTCACTGGTAGTAATATGTGCATGATATACAGTATATTACACATAACTAACATAAATCACACAGGTTATTGCACAGGTAGTGAGTAACATTGAGATTAACTGAATTTTGATGGTACAGTAGTAACATGCATGATACAGGCACATAGTGCAGCAGCAATAAACATATTAGATGTCGCAGATGTGGCTTAGTGCAATGTTATTGTTAGTTGTTTAGTGTTATTATCAAGAGTTCAGAAATCTGACATCTTGTGGGTAATAACGGTGTTTGAGTCTTTTTGTGCGCGATGGCAGACTCCTGTATCGTCTGCCTGAGGGTAGTAGATGAAAAAGTCCTTGTGCAGTGTGGGTGAAATAGTTCTTGAACTAATTCACTTCTATTACTTGTCAGCAACTATTACTCCAAATTTGAGCCCAAATCTATAATATTGACTGAGTTGCAGCCATTTTGGGCCTGTTTGAACTGATTTGTCTCAACTATCTCAACCTTAAATCTGTTTTTACCTACAATGGTATATTGTGTTGATTCTGTGAATTTGTTTTTAAAATTATGTTTTTTTTATCCATTGTCAATTTAAACTTAAGATAATTCTAAGTCATGGCAAGTCTTTAATCATTTTTGAGTAAGTAAAATTAAATATGGACATGACATTTTCTTATGAATTAAACTGATAGTTTCTGTTATTCTGTAAAAATCCAGTGTAATGGTTGGACATGTCGTATAATTCTTGTTTATGGGTTTCATTTGTGTTTTAGACTTACATAAAATTGAAAAAAAAAAAGAAGCATTTCTGTGTCTGGTTTTTGTGCAACAGTTCACGCTTATATTTTCCAATTTTGCCCACATTTTTCTGCTTGTATTACCTTCTTTACCACGCTGCTGTTCGCTTCATTGTTTGTACCTTCATTCGTTGTGTCTTTTATATTATCATCCCAGCCTTTTATTTAGGCACATTTCTTTTTCATGCTCCATTTTTCTCTGTTAACTTACCTGTCATTTTTTCCATTAGAGCCGCCGCTGTACACAGAGTAGCTAATAACCTGGTCAAAAAACAGCAGCTGTGCTCTCATGGCTTGAAGTCCCCCTTTGCCCCTCAGTGTCCTTGCTGCATGGGCTTTATTTTGTATTTTCTCCCTAAAAGCATCTAAAATGGAGCTGGAGCAAAGTTAGTTAAAAATGAAATGCCCTGATTTCTTTGTCTTATTTATATTTAAATAATTAACTACAGTCATGTCCATTAAAATTAAATTAATCAAATAAATATTTTGACGCAGCTGAAAAAACT